GGAGCGGGTTGATCATAGCCGTTGATTGGAGATGCACGCGATCGTACGGATGAGATGGCACCTGATCATGATAAGGTGTGATTAGTCAAGGCATCTATTCGGTGTCGGAATAATCTGCACCATAGATCGTCGATCCAACGATCAGATCTGATCGGATGCAATCAAGGGACATGACCATTCGATCAGATCCATTAAGGCCTATAAATAGGCTACGAAATCAGCCATTTCATTCGATCCAAAATCCTAAAAAGCATTCTTGCAATTCTTTCTCTCTCACTTTTGATTTTGAATTTTCGATCAAGAGTTTCTTAAGAAAATTTCTGTTTTTCTTATTGATACTCAAGTTCTGCAGATTTGATTATCAGTGTCTTAGTTTCTTGATTATATCAAGAGTGTTCTGATCTATTGTCGTCAGTGCAGACACCGATAGACTAGATCTTTAGATCAGGCTTCATTGTATCTTGGAGGCAAATATGTTGTAACCCCCTGCACATCTTTTGGTGGGTACAAATATTGTCTTTAGGAAAGCGACTTAGTAACGCGACTTGAAGCACTAATTTTCTGTTCTATATAGACAAGGTCATTGCCAAATTTTGAAGACCCGAAGACCACCATTTGAAGAATTCAAGACCCTTTGTTCCAACAGCTTCAAGGGGGTGAAGTCAGACTGACAAAGAGAATCTCTCCAGTAGAAACTCCAAGAAATCAACATCACAAGAAGTGAAACCATAAACCCACCATTATTAGAAATTCAACACAAAATTCTTCATCAGCAATAATGCAAAGTTATCTCAAAATGTAACCATTGTTAATTCAACAGACCATTATCAAAAAAAGCTACAAAAATAAAGTACAAGGTTTTCTCTGCTCAACAAAACACAATGCAATCACAAAAATCCTTCTTCTTCTTCTTATTTTTTTATTTTTAATTTTTCCCCTCCCCCCAATTCAATAAAATATTTGGAATGATCTTTGTAATTTCACAGGAAAACTAAAAATCATCTCAACATTTTGAGATAGATAGATGAGAATTATTCACAAATTATAGAATTTAGCAACTTTGATCACAGTTTTTGATCTGATTCCCCAAAGAACTGAGACCCCAAAAAATCGACTCCAGCGACCAAACTTCTTGGAAAACAAACAATTGAACACCTTGCAAGGCAAGCTGTTCCAATTCCACTAAACAAAACAATCAAAACGCTAATTCTATACTAGAAATCCCAAATTTCCTTAGATAGTGTTTGTGTGTGGGATTAGGAATGAGATAGAAGAATTACTTACATAGTCAAATCGAAACAACAGATTAAAGTGTAATGTTCGCGATCATCGGTCCTACATAGCCGAAATTAATGAAAATATTCAGCACTTGTCTACCGAAATAAGTTGAAAAATTCGGTTTTTAGCTATCAAAAAGAAGAAAAAAAATTGGAATTTTATTATCGAATTAATTTGTTATTTTCGTAGTTCAAGTATCGAAAAAATAATAATATTTCAGCACTTAATTTTTGAATATAATGAAGAAATTCAACACTAGATATCCGATTGAAAATCGCGAAAATAAAATTTAATACTACACGAAAAAACTAATCTTTTCATCACTGATTTTGTTATCAGCAAACATATTTTTGTTTGAGTTTGAATTTCCATTGGTTTGCAATAGAGGAGTATAGAGTGTGCAACAAGTAAAGTGATAATAATGGAAAAATTAAAGTTTAAATTTTTTTTTTACCTCAAAAGGTGTACATTGAGATTTTTTTGTTCTTAAAAGATGTGTACAGAGAATTTTTCCATATAATATTATGTGTATTGGTGAATGTCTATTATAGTCATTTTTATTTACGATATAATTATCATTAAACTAATATTTCATTAAATGTGTGCCTTGAGCTAATTAAGTGTGTGAAAATAAAATTTCTGACCAAAATAGGCAACCCAAAACAGATCTTCCCAACCAAAGCAACCAAAATGCCTTACATAATTTTCAAAATGTCACCACCTAAATTGTTTCACCAACCAACTAAAAGAAAAAATAATAATTTCAAAATAAACTAAGGACAAAATAAAAAAAGAAATGACAAGCCAAAAAAAAAAAAAACGCTTCTTCTATATATAGATATACAATTGGTGGTAGAAGAGGAATAAGAATTTGCATAGAGTAGGATTCAAACCTAGGCATCATCTCATTGTCTAGTCTAGTACAGGTGTTTCATCCATCAGGTCAATGTTTGATCTTTGAAATTAATTCTGAGGGCACATCAAAGTCATTATTAGTGAATATCTCTACTAAAATTATGGACACTTCTACATATTTGAGTTTACCAACACCTTTTATGGTAAAAAATCACCACTTTTGCGAAACTCTTCACTCCAGCCCTTTTGTCTATTTCGTCTGCACCTACCACTCTCTTTTCTTGAACCTTTCTATATTGCAATACTCACCATCGTGGCCACCTCCATTGAGTCCGGATCCTTTTCAGCGCTCCTCTCCAGTTCTTTCTTCAGTCAATGGATACGATTCCGTCACGTCATTCTCTTCCTTCGGTCAACGGATAAGATTCCACCACGTCATCCATAACAAAACCTATGGCTTAGATTAACTAAAAAAAAAAAAGTTGACTTGTTGAATTTCATTCAACACACTGTCTCACGTCAACTCATATACACTCACTCACTCTCTCTCTTTTCTCTCTCTTCTCTCTCTCTCCTAATAAAAAATTAAAAAAACTATTTTAATCTTAATTTTATTTTCATAATATTTTATAAAATTAATATCATTAAAAATGTACTTTTAAAATGACACTAATATTAAATATAAAAATTAATTTGATGAAAATATATCATTATTATTCTTTAAATATAAAAATTAATTTGATGAAATAAACACACAAAAATCATATATTTTTGAAATTCTCAAAAATGAATTTTATTTCAAAAAAAAATCATATGAAAATAAAAAAATATGTTGGATTTGATTTGCACTGTGGGGATATATTTTCTGAGTACCAACACGTGGCATGGTGACGCCGACGTGTCAGCCGAGGTGCCACGTGTCGTGGTAGATATGCCGAGGTTATATTGGAGAGGCCGAGGTTATCTCCGAAAATGAAGATTGTTTTTGAGAATTTCAAAAATATGTGATTTTTGTGTGTTTATTTCATCAAATTAATTTTTATATTTAAAAAATAATAATTTCAAAACATAACTAAACATAGTAATTATTTTTTATTTATTTTAATTATTTATTAAATATATTTAATATTAGTCTCATTTTAAAGATATATTTTAATGATATTAGTTTTAAAAAATATTATGAAAATAAAATTAAAAAATTAAAATAGTTTTTTATTTTTTTATTAGAAGAGAGAGAGAGAGAGATAGTGTGTGTGTATGCGTGTCTGTGTGACTGTGAGAGAGAGTGAAAGTGAAAGTGTGTGTGAGTTGACGTGGGACAGAACCATTCAACTTTTTTTTTTTTAGTTAATCTGAGCCTTAGGTTTTGGCATGGATGACGTGGCAGAATCCTATTCGTCGACCGGAGGAAGAGCCGGAGAGAAGTGCTGGAGAGGATCCGAACTCCACTTCCATCATCCTTTACTTGTGCGTAAATGTATTTCTGACATTTGAATTGAAAGTATCCTTTTTTCATAGCCAACACCTACTACCTCACTGTCTCTCTCACTTTTTTTAACACTAAAGTCTCTCTGTTGATATCTTTCTCGTTCATCGACACTCTTTATACTTATTCACCATATGTTTTCTCTTTTTCATTTACCGAAAATCTCTTCCGTTTTACTTCATTCTTCAGCCCTTTCATCAAAACTCTCTTTTCATTTTTGTTTTGTATTGGAAAAAAAGCCCAAATTTGACAATGGTTAGGGATTTTCATTTGAATGATAAGATTTTAACTTGAAAACATATGAACAATACTATGTACTTTCCTCCTTTTTCATTGTTTGGGGGTTTGTTTTTATAAATTTTCAAAAAAAATTAAGTTTCTAAACTGGAACTTCATATTTTTTAAAAAAAAAATTAAAAAAGACAAAGTAAACTATCTTTTTTGGCCTTTTCATTGTTTTTTTGAAATTTTTCAAAAAATATATACTTTTAGATTTGTCTAAAAAAATTTGACATAATTTTGATTCCGATATCTTCGGAGATAATCCCGGCCTTGCCGAGATCACCTCGGCGTCACGACCAGGACACGTGGCACCTCGGCTGACACGTCGGCGTCACCTTGCCACGTGTTGGTACTCAGAAAATATATCCCCACAAGAGTAAAATAGGAAGTTTCTTTCTAGTGTAGAAAATACAAAAGGTCTAAGGTCACGTTTGTTTAGCGAATCAGATTGAATGAGATTGTTAGTGAGAGAATGATTAGTGAAGAGATTGTTAATGTGAGGATTATTAGGGAATGGATTAAGTAAAAATGTGTTTGTTTTAATGATAGTAGGAAAGATGATTAGTGATGAGATTGTTAAATTATTTTTATATAAAATATTTCTATATTAAAAAAAATTCTAAAACAAATATAATTTTTTTATTTTTTTTATTTTTTATACAAATAACAGGTTGCACCTATTTTTAAAAAATAAAGAAAAGAAAAGAAAAGAAAAGAAAAAATACATCATAATCCCCCCACTATTTATACAAATAACAGTTTGCACATGATTTTAAAAAATAAAGAAAAGAAAAGAAAAGAAAAGAAAAAATACATCATAATCCCCCCACTATTTTTTCAATCCCAACTCGTAGAAGGACAAGTTAATTCTATTGAGGGTGTGGAGTAAGACTCCATCTGGAATAGTAATCCCCCTCCACAAGTAAGCCACCAAACAAGCTTCATTGAGACCCACCTCCTTACTATTCTAATCCCACCGCCTAATCGGCAAAATAAACATGGCCTAAGTGTTATTAAAAAAAGGAAAACTAGGGGGTACAATGAAATTTTGACATACTTTGGAGGTGGACTCTAGAATTTGTTCGTTTGTCATGGGGCCCATCAGCAAAAACGAATGGTGCTGCGTGATTGCCATTTTCCCATCATCGGTGCTGAAGAAATTCTTCAACTATTTCATAGCATAAAATCTTGCTTGCTTGCTTCGATTACTGATCTCGAAACCCGAACAAAGATGAATTCTGTTTTAAACAGTTGCAGAGGTACAATTTCAAGCTCCAAACTCCACAACACATGCATTCATGGTGAGTACATACAAGCATACATACATAAGTCTCTCTAATTATTACTTCTTCAATTCACTGTGATTCAAAAATACTTGTGTTGTGTTGTGTTGTGTTGTGTTGTGTGTGTTTATTCAAGTTATCTTCTATTTCCATTTCAAAAACCTAACGCAATGGAGATTATTATTGATTTTTGTATCCCAAGGTAAATCCAAGGTTCCTACCGGAACACTAAACCTATCGTCTGTGGATCAAAATCTTCGCCGGAGCAACAGTTTTGAAGTTTTGACGATAGTAAGTGGCGTCGCAGGTAATTGCCTTTCCTTCTCCTACTTTTGGTGCTTTGTAACTGTAATCTCATAATGTCACATTTCTCTGGTTTTATTTATTGATTTGTTAACCATTTGCCTAAATTGTAATGCAAATTTGTGGTGACTATATTGTTGTCAAATCGTGAATCCAATCGTTAAAATAGTGAATCATAAATCGTTTCAAATGGTGAATCATAAGATTTTGTATTATATAATATAATATATAACACAGTGTTTAAAATCGAAATGTATAGAGTGTTTAATAAAAACTTTTATTAATATGACTAAATTATAAATGTATATACACATAAAATCACATATATCGATTTAAGTAACTATGTTCTTCTATATATTTTTATAATTTGGTGAAAACGACTATGTGTCATGCATTATATAAGCAAAAATAGAAAAAGAGCTGAATTGCAGTGATTCATGTGAATCTCAATGAATTGTAGTGAATCATAAATTGAATCGTACAATTCACTCAATTTCTGATTCAACAGCACAATTTGAATCGTTTTTGTTGAAACTCATATCGAATCTGTTTGGTTTTGCAAATGCCGTTTTTAAAATGTAATTATGTGTGCATCAGAGGCTGATACCCAAACTCTGTATAATTAAACAACATGCAGAATTTTTCTTAGCTTCTTATTGGAGTCAACAAAAAAGTCGGTGTGGTTAGCTTTTGATTATTTGGGTTCTTTATTTATTTGGAAATTTTCAAATATATTTGTCCTCATCCATTGCTTTGATGTTTGGGTGCAAGCATATAACTTTCGATACTTGTTTCTATTTTTGATGTTTTCAGCAGCAAATTTGGTTGTGGCTAACGCAGCAGAGGCTGTAAGTATGGAGAATATTATGGTGAGAACTTGTTGTTAGCTTTAGCCATCTTGTTTAAATTCAGTTAATGTTTAAACTGAGTCTTTTTAGTTTTTTGGTTTGTCAATCATGCTTAGACAGGAGTACATAGTAGATCATTCTCAGTTTTTCCGAGTCCTATATGCAAGTTTTGTTCTATTTTTCTCTCCCATATAATCTCAGGAAATATGGTTATTTTTCTTCAAGTCAGGAAGGAGCTGCATCTGTTTATACTTTAGCAGATGGAAGTGTTGGAGATTGGTTTGGAGGCTTCCTATATTCAGCTGGACAACAGGCTAATGAAGCTGTTCAGGACCAGCTATCAGCTCTCAGTTTTACGAGGTTCATATTTTGCATACTGTTTCTAAGTTTGAATTTGGTCATTTGGTGATTTTATACTTATAGTTTTATCTGCTGTTCATGCATGTTCCTCTTTGCAGCTTGGCTGTTATATTTGGCGCGGGGCTTGTAACTAGCCTTTCTCCTTGTACACTGAGTGTTTTACCGCTGACCCTTGGTTATATTGGTAACAAATATTTGGTGTTAAATTTTGTGGTAAAATAATTTGATACTGGGTTGTTACTGATACACTTGGCTTGCCATGTCTGATGCGGATTCTTGGACTTGCTGAAATCATCCAGGAGCTTTTGGCTCAGGGAAAAGCAAAACAGAGGTAAATAACTTCTTCTAATTCTCGTCTTTCACTTACAATTTTGTGGTTTCCATATTATGTGATTATGTGGTCAGGGATCATTGGATCATTTCAGAAACCAGCATTAGCTTAGAACTGTGACGGTGAGCTAAGCTAAAGTACTGCTTAGATGTTTGTAACAGTTAAATTTGGTTGATGGAAATTTGAACAGTTGCCACTTCTACCACCCTAGCGCCAAGTGTCTAAGAATTGGGTGTAGTTTTTTTGGAGGAGTTACTTTTGATTATATTTCTTTCATTTTTATTTATTCAACTGAAAACATATAGATTAGTTTTCTAAGCTCCTTGCATTTGGTGGTTTTCTTTTCTTTTTCTTTTTTCTTTTTTACCCTTCTCTTGCTTATGGTACTCAATTTAGCATGCTCCCTGGTGATAACAGTGTATATATATATGTGATGACAGGCTCTTTTTCTCATGTTTAAGTCGTATGTTTTTCATTGTTTAGGTCATTGGGAACTCGGTTGCATTTTCATTGGGATTGGCTACTACGCTGGCAATCCTTGGTATATCAGCATCATTTGCTGGAAAGGCGTATGGACAGATAGGGCAGGGACTACCTGTGGTTGCTTCTGGTTTGGCCGTAATTATGGGTCTAAACCTCCTGGAGGTGATTAATTGTATCAATGCTATGATTGCTCAATAATCTCGTTTTACATCTTCTGTACTCATTTTCAATACTTCTTTTTTAATCTCTCTTCTGCAGAGAATTTATTGTTCTTTGCTTTGATTTAAGGCCCACTCTATGAAATCTGTACCAAATAACTGTAAGTTTTTTGAACAAAAAAGGGAAAACGTAATAATTTGCAATAATGATAACCACAAAGTTGCCAATGGTAAATCAGTTCTTAGTCTAACTGAAGTAACCAATCTAGAAACAATAGGAACTACATGAGTAAACAATCCTTTTTCTTCACATGCTTCTTCCTCTCCTCTTATGATGTTGCGTACCATGTTCTTTCTAAGGTAGCTAAACCTAAACCTACACATTGCCACCTTATTTGATTGATTTTCAGAAGGTGGCTCTTCCAAAAGCATAGACTTTGGTTTGGTTGTATATCCATGTTTAAGTTTTCAGCTTACATAAAACTCGAGCCATGTTATCTATTTGACCCAATTGGTTTCCGTTAGCATGGCATTCTTAAGTATGTCTAAACAGAATCATTTAAGTTGTAGATAGATATTGGTTTTATCTATTTATTCCTAGCTAATATCCCTCTTTTTTCCATGGTCTTGCTGGCCGATATTTTAGATAATTGAGTTACAGCTTCCTTCATTTTTCAACAACTTTGATCCTCGTGCTGCTGCTGCTAATTTCCCTTCAGGTAATGGACTTTCTAATTTTACCATCAGCTTCTCAAGTATTCATCACATGGGTTTGGCTGGCTCTCGGATGTGCTTACAGCTTGAAAGTGCAACTAACATTTTAAAAAATTTGACATGTCAGGTGTGCAAGCATATTTGGCTGGGCTTACATTTGCATTAGCCGCTTCACCTTGCAGCACTCCTGTGCTGGCAACCCTGCTTGGATACGTAGCTGCATCCAAGGTACTTTTAAATGTTTATTGATATCAATTTCCATCTGAATTATTACCTTTTCAGACTGCTTTATACTGATCGTTCTGGGCCTATAATGATGGCTTAGCACTCTTATCTCTATCTCTCTTGTTTGGATGCATCATATATGCTATACATTGCATTTGAGCTTCTAAACCTATTATTTAATTACATAACATGCAGGTCAACTTGCTATGACTGCATTTATCTTGACATTCACAGTTGAGGGAGCAAAATTGGCACAATATTGGTGGGGCCAATATTTATAATTTTATAGGAAACCCAGTTTGCAAGTCTACCCAAGAGAAATTTTGAGACTCAGGAGGGGCCATGGCCCCCCTTCATCCGAACATAGGCCCACCCCTAGATCCATCTTTTAAGTTGATAGTATGCATAATGCTTACTGGTTGATTATTTAATTCAATCCTCAGTTCCAATATTGAGACAAAAAATGCAGTCATAAATAAATAACTAATGTGAAACTCCTAACAGGATCCAGTAATAGGGGGCAGCTTACTGTTGACATACACAACTGGCTATGTTGCTCCTCTACTTCTAGCTGCTTCTTTTGCAGGAGCATTGCAGGTATACTCTTTTTTCACTCGGTAAAATCTTGTATGCGAACTCTTGATGTGCATAACTTACCGCTGCTTTTCCCCTCCTTTCCGAGGTATATATAGATAGTGCATCGTGGGCCTGGGCCAAAATTATGATTGTTCCAATGGCTTAGTGTACGTAGCCAATGTTTTGGCAAGGTCTATTAGGGAGACACTGGGACTATGCCCAGATCTTCCTACCATCTGTAGGTGGAGGCCAAATCTGTGTCATCACTGATAAACTGTTTGCCACTTTGTTTCGTTCTTACTCCTACACTTTTTGTTTGTCTAATTTTTATTGTTCATTTGTATCCTTGGCAATTTCTAACACAAATTGTCTGCAGAGCCTGCTTTCATTCCGCAAATTCTCAGCATGGATCAACCCAATGAGGTATTTTCTCCCCATTTTTTGGCATTAGGATAAGTTGTGCTTGAGGTTCCTTTTTTGCATCTACTCTTCAATGCTCATCTTCATTAGTGGTCAGATGTTGACAATTCTGTTCCTTAGAGTGTAGTTGTCGCTCATACACATGTATTTGATGTTTTGTAGTGGTGCTCTCCTCTTAGGCGGTGGTATTTATACTCTGTTGGACCGGCTTTTCCCAGTGACAATGGCTTGACGACGCAAGAATGGAAAACATGCAAGTGTCCCTAATTATTACTTTGTATCTGCTTCTCATTGCTTAAGTAACTTGACATTCATGGGAAAGCATGCTAAGACAAAAACGAAAAGGGTAGGGGTGATAGATATGCTCAAATCTTTGTGTTAATGTTTGGGATATATATTGCTGCATAGAAATGACATGTACAGAGATGAAAGATTTGTTATTTGTGTACAATACAATGTATAGGTTGATAAAGTAGTTTATTTTTTTTCCCCTGAAAATATGAATTTGTATACAGTACTTATAGTGCGCTGATCTTATTCTTTGTCTATCTACCTGAGAGCTCAGATATGGCTGAATATTAGTTTTGAGTGTTCCAAACACTTGGGCAAGCTATATTTGATAAGTCATTTAGAAAGCATAAATTCTGAGTTTGAATCTCAAACGTGCTTTAACTCTATTGGCAGGATTTGTTCTGAACTTATTTTGATGATCCAAACCGTTCATATTATAATATTCGTCGAGCATGTCATTTATAAAAAAATTGAAGTTAATTGGACATGTGTAGCCCATCACATTTATTTTTTAAAAAAATAAACAATTAATAATTTTTTCATGGATAGTTTATTTGACAAATTTTATAATACGAATGGTTTAGATTATCGAAACAGGTTTGGAACACACCCCCACAGAACACGATGCCTGTAAAGCACAACACCAACCCCACTTCAAGGTCACCCCTAGGACTTGTATCCGATAATTACTTCTGTAACAAAGCGATTGTATGCACCAAAAAAGCTCCAGGACTTGAATCCGTTAATTACTTGTGTAACAAAGAGATTGTATGAACCCAAAAAAACCTAGTTGAGAGGACAAAGCTCTGTAAATACTCAGTTATTAAAAAATAAAAAAAATTAAAAATTTCTAAGCTACTCCAGTTGAAGTACAACTGAACTGTATCCCAGATGATGGGTAGGGCTGGCCCTTGAATTAGGCCAAGGCCAGCTTAAAATATGGCAACGCAAACCTTAAGCTACTCCGGTTGAAGTACGATTAAGCTACTCCGGTTGAAGTACGATTGAACTGTATCCCAAATGGATAGGGCTGGCCCTTGAATTAGGCCTAGGCCAGCTTAAAATATGGCAATGCAAACCCTTGTATTGACGTAGAAAGAAAAGAGAGGTCTAATGGAGATGTTAAACTACTAATCCAAAGAAACTACATAGAGGCACTAAGAGGATAATAAACACATGAATGAAAAGACAAGAAGAAATTTGCACCTTAAGCACTCATCACAACCTAATGTTCATATGATCAACAAACTCTTTTGCAAAACCAGGTTAGAGGCGAAGGGTAGATACAGCAGGCACTTCATATTCCAATAAGAATGGTGTGAATAAGCATCAAAACTAGATTTTGCTAGGAGACAACCAGTAACCAAACACAAATGCACCTAATAATTCAAATTTTCCATTCTAAGACAGCAGATTATCTCATTTCAAATATAAAATTTCATATTTTCTCTATAATCATAATTCATCTAAAACAGGATGTGAAAAAAATTATTATCAAATATCAATCAATCTAAACCTGACTTGTTTCTCGGCATACACCTAATCGTACAAACAAAGCCACCACCCAGAATAGAAAGAGGGGAAAATCAAAAGATGAGGAAAATGAAAATAGGAGAAAAAAAAAAAAAAAACCACCTCCTCTACAAATAGTTTACAACCTCCAATGCAAAAAGTAACCTCCAAAATGCTAGCTTTCCTGAAATATATTCATTTGGCATGCTTTAGCTGGAAAGCCAGAGTCACTTTCCCGGTAGCATCTCAGGATTTTGAGAAGAACCCTTGTGTTAATGAAGAGAAATCATATTCTTTCGCCGACTGTGTAGGAGGAGCTGCAGATGGGATTGGGGATGCTGATGGCATTGCTCTGCTTGTTCCAGCAGGTGCCACACTACTAATGGAAGCATTTTGCCCCATAGTATAAATGCTACATTAGAGAAATGAAAAGGATAATAAATGTGAAGATTCGAAGGATATGGTAATCTTTCTTCCTCAATATGGTTCCTAAATTGCAGATCTACAGTCATATATAAACAATGCAGGGAAATTACAGAAACTCGACTCATCATCCTACTTTTATACAAAAAAAAGAAAAAGAAAAAAGCGATAGTTATATGGTAAGCTTATTGGAGCTTAAAGAACTTTATGCAAATCCACGGGTGTCTACATGATAAACTTCATCCAGCATTATATCCTTGCTATGCATCGCCTAGTAGAAAATAAGCATTTTTTAAAAAAAAATTTCTGGTAGTAATTTTCCATTGGTGTCTTCATAGAAACTCTCTGTGGGTGTTTATACAGACTGCCACAAAAAAATGAGCCATTGAAAATGCATTCTTGCATTCTCTTCACTAAAAGTAATTGAGTTTGATACTGGGAAGGAAGGGGCTGAGTATGTTGGTTGCTTATAGCCACAAGAATTCATTTTGATCAAACTGGCTAACTTCGTTTTACTGTGGGCATGTCTCGTTTCAAGCTCCATTGACTGGAATTCTATTTATATTAATATTATTTCTTTCGATATAATTTTATTTCTATCTAGTGAGTACAAATAGATATTACTCTTAAGCCTTGTTTGATTAACAAGATTAATAGTGAAATGATTAATAATCCCATGAGTTAGCGTAGTTATCCAATTAAATTAGTAAGATAACCATTTATTTTCTATTTATTTATTTATTTTTTTCATACTTGAAATTATGATCCCAACCCCTCTCAATATTAAAAATTCGCCAATTTCGTCGGATTGAATGTCTGCCGCACATGTTATCCGGTTAATAAAATTTGCAATAAAACATGGGATTGTGAGTCCATGGATTAACAAAATCCCAATCTTATGCTATAATCCTACTAATCAAATATGCCCTTATACAAATAAAATTCTCTTGTTACCTAGAATTCTCTCTAAAGAAAAGAAATAATAAACTTCCAACTCAAATCTGAAATAAATAGAATTCTCATTTTTGGTTACCCTCTGATACAAGGTTATATATGTTTGAATATGAAAAAAAACTAAAAACAAGTATTTTGCAGAGCTTGAAGATTTTTTTATAAGCATTTCCATGGGAAAATAGATGCCACGTTATAATAATGACAGCAGCCAAAGCATTAATGACTGCTGAAAATTACATTTAAATTAGTATGATTTTTTAATGACACCACAATCATCTAATTTATGCATCTGGCTTTAATTTTGGTAAGTCATCCAGCAATAAACTCTCAATCAAACATTTGGTTAACAAAAACCATGAAAATGTGACCTAAACTACACTGATGATGTGAAGTACCTTGATGATGTTGGAAATGGAACAGAGCTCCCAACCAGACCTGGCCCCACACTTCCCATCTGACTCTGAGAAAAAATATATAAAAATGAGTGTTCAGACTCAATTCATTCAAAGAACAGTGCGGTTAAAATATTCTACCTGCTGCATGTATTTCTGTAGCTCATTATTTCCAACTCCTGGCATCATCATACCAGGAAACTGGTAGCCAACATTTGGCCAGTTCTGAGTGGGTACATTTGTACCATTGGGCCCCGATTGTTGTGCATTGCCAACAAATTTTGGCATCACACCAGCAGATTTAGCTGCAGCAGCCATAAGAAGGGACTGTTGCTGTGCTAACATGGCAAGTTGCTGTTGATGAGCAGAAAATGGTGACACCATATTGGACTGCAAAACAAATAAGCTACAAGATTAAATGCATTCGACTTTCAAAGTAGTAGTAGAAGAAGAAACAGCAATAAGAAAAACCCAAGGAATGTGGTTGATCTTTCATCCTTTATTAGACTGAGAATTCAACATCATCATTAACTGAACTTCATATTTTACACAAACAAAACCTAAAGTATATTTTTCCCAAAATCAACCAAATAAACAATATGTCAATCAAATCTTATAATACATTGAGAACTAAAAAATCCTGCAGATAATGCTGTAGAACTTACCTTATCAAAAAGGCTCATAATATCGTTTTTAACATCTTTTTGAGGCTTCTCTGATACCATAGAAGGTGCTAGTGAAGGAGTGTCTTTAAATAGATCTTCAATACCAGAAGTAGACTGGGTCTTGTTATCATCTGGTTTTGTAGAGTCTTTAAAAAGATCTTCAACACCAGAAGTAGACTGGGTTTTCCTATCATCTGGCTTTGTAGAGCCTGTTTTGTCAGTTGTTGATCCTTCCGCAGCAGCTGCAAGTAGTCAAGAAGAAGAAAACAACCATATTAGTAGATATTATTGCTTATCTCATCTCATTGTTCAAAATGAGGAAAACTTAGACATACACTGGAAACCTGCCCATGTATTATCATCAGCTGAGGTTGCCTCTGAACCATTTTCACTAGGACCATCCATTGACAGCATGTTGAAAAGGTCAATAGCATAATCAACTTTAGGGGGAGAGACAACTGCACTAGAGTCTGCCACCTGCTTTACGGATTCAGCAGGCACTGCTACTGCTGGTTCTGATTTCTGAATGACCTCTTGAGTCTTCAGCGCAGGAGTGACCTGTTTGTAAGGCAACTACGTAAGGCCCACAATTTCAAAGCCTTAGGGGGCATAAGCATGTTAACAGGATTATTAATTACAAACAAACATGCAATGCAACAAATGATAAAGACAAATAAAATAAGTATGGAGAGATAAGGAGAAAACAACAAAGTATGGAGAAAATCAGACAGGTAAAGAACTGGACGTACTGACTCAGGTCCTTTAGGAGGTACAGGTATACTAATTCTTGTAGAAGGAACACTCTCCCTCAAACTACGTGCTTGAAAGTGCTTCCTTTCCTCAGATGAATTTTCAGAATTGTTAGCATATCCATGCCCACTCCTATCACTAGGTCTCTGCCATTGCATAGAAGCCTTTTCTTCTATTACTCTAGAAGGTGACATTGGCTTGCCATCCTTAGGAACCCATCTCTTCTCTTCATACCTTTAAAATATAAAAGATATGTACACTTAAGACTATGAGCAGTTGACAAACCAGACAACAATAGTGCACTGTGCTTTACCAAGGAGAATGGTTAATAAAAGTAAGGAAATGCATACTTTGCGCGTATGAAATTCTCAATCCCAACTCTGTCGTAATTAGGGGGTAACTCAGCTTCCCAATAACTATTTGACTTCTCATTTCCCATAGCTGTATAGGGAAAAAAACCAAATTCAAATTCTCTTTTTATAGCATTGGAACAAAATCAAGCACAAAAAAAACAAAAATTTTTGAACTGGGATACTTGGAGACAAGCTTACATTGAATAAATGCAACCTGTTCAGGAAGCCATGTGTCCAGAGTAGCAGACCTCACCTGTAGAAAGACCCAGAGAGAATCCATTGATAAATATGCAAATAATAATTGGTGTTTGGTCAACCACATGTTTGTTGTGGAAAGGAAATGAAGAATGTTTAATAGGATCACAAGGAATACGTTTACAGGTCTGGTGTTGGCAAGTATACCCCAATGGCTGTGGATTAGTAAATTTGGTCCCAAAGAATAGAGCAAAATGATGACACGTAAGAAGCACAGACACTTCTAAAAGCATATTCAACAGTTCTTCAATGTCTTAATTAAAATTTTAACTTCATAACATTGACCACTTCACAAACACCTCCAGACACTTCGGCGGCAACACTTCACAGACCATGCGAAGAATCTCTTCATAGTAGCAATGTTATGCATTATTCGAAAGACAACTTATGCACTTTAAATATGTTTTGAAACATTTATAAAATAAATAAACACATCATGTGTGTTTCAATTTTTACTGTTGTTTTACAATAACCAATGAACAAAATATCACCTTTGATATGTGCACTCCAAGACTTCTGTGGATTCCAGAACATTGCATGCATATAAAGATGCCCAGATTCACACTAGCCCATCGAGGACCCCTGCATGAAAAATGAGTCACTACCAGCAACTTAAATAAACAAAAATTATTATTAACTAATAACATGTAGCTACTTTATGGTATAATGCACAAAGATCCATTGCTTTCTAATCTAGTTCTGTGACTCTATCCATGTCATTTATTTTTTCACAATTTCAATCAATGTCATCAACATTGACAATTTCCAGATAACATACTTGCTTTTGCAGTCAGCGCACTCCCTGTTCTCTGGCAATTTAAGAAGCCCTTCCAGCATCTGCAAATAACAAAATCAAAACACATTAGATCAAGGTTTACTAATAGAAGAAAATGGACTAATAGAAGAAAAGAAGGCAACAAAACATGTATCTTTCTTGGAGGAGGTGGGTTGTGTGGTCTCAACCAGAATGCCCCCATTACATATTATCAAAGATTGAGCTAGAAAAAAAAAATAAAAAGGAGGAAGAAACTACAAAAAGTATCATATAACCAATACAATAGCATGTGCCAACCAACGTACATAGTAATACTGTGACCTTTCTTTCAGCAAAATAAATGTCAGTAGTTAGAGTTTTCAAACAAACAAAGTATTCAAAATTCAAAGCCTTTAGCAAAAGGCTGATTTTTTTTTTGTCCGAACAAAATACTCAAATTCATACGTCAGACTTTTAACATTGGAACAATCACATTAGTGTGACTTCTTCACAATACATAATGGTGCTATGGTACCAACTGACCATAAGGAGGCTGCCCAGGCAATGTAGTCATGCACAGGCACACAGCTATTACCTTCTTTTCTTCCCATGGTTTTACCAATTCCCACCAGGGACTGATTATTTCTGTCACAAAGGAATGGTGAGAAGGTGCACCTCCAGAAAACTGTTGGCCACATGTCAAGCCTACAACATAAGAAATCTTGGCATTTCTTCCATCATTATATTTAGCTAAAAGATTTTTTGGCCTTGCCAAGAGACTCATAAAGCTGGGTCTCACATTTGTTTGGATCACTAGTTTGGAGAGTTTAAAGAGTGAAACTTTGTTTGGATCAGTTTCCTACCATGGACGAGTACTTTGACTGGTGTGACATGTCAAATGAATGGAGAGTTCATTTTACCAACACAGATACAATAACCAACTAAACTAAACTAAGCCTTGTCCCAGCTACTTGGGGTCAGCAATTGAATCCTCTTTTACTAATCCACAGATCAAGGGCCGTGACTTAGTTAAACCACAAGCTAATATAAAGAGATCTTTCCTAGATGTAAGTCACTCCTTTCTTTCCTTTAGGTTGTGTTTGGATCGTGGATTTGGATAAAGATTTGGAAAGGAAAAGGAAAAGGAAAAAGGTGAGTGAAATACAGGTGAAATGCAATTATATTTCATTCACATTTTACTTACTTTTTCCTTTTCCTTTTCCTTTTCCTTTCCCTTTCCCTTTCCAAATCCCTATCCCAATCCATGATCCAAACTCAACATTAGTAGGAATAGACAAGTCACACTCTTGCCCTTGGAGGTCAGCTTGTTTTAGAGCATAAAGACAATAGGTTTCTATCTTACTTGAAAACAGGAATGATGCCCCATGCATGCCCCCCTACTAATAATTGAAATGGCTTACTAAAACAGCTAAAAGGGCTAACAAAGCATGGATCTCTTCTGTGTTTGAGGGAGCAGGAAAAAGAGAGTCATGATAACAACTCTCAACTTCAAAAATCTCTAGACAACTACTGTCAAGACAAAATAACAACTCATGCAACACTCAATAATTGTGAACAATGCAATACACAGAAAAAGGAATAAAATAAATTAAAATTTTTATTTCAAGGAAGAAAAAAAAAAGAAAAAGAAAAAGAAAAATTGTTAACCAATTTTACAAAATTCCCCAACAGGCTCTATTAGATTAGGTGCATATAAAATTGAAGAACTATCAAAATGTAATAATTAAGAATCAATCAACCAAGTCCTATAAACTTGAATCTTAACTTATCACAGAACCACACTCAATCAATAACTATTACTCATTCAGTTCAAAATGCAGCAACAAGCCCCAATTCGAATTCATTAATCTATCGAAGACAAAAAAAAAAAAAAAAACCCTAAAAATTCAGCATCAACCACATAAGAGATCTCTGATCAGGTTTTATGGATCAGCCAAAATCCGAATCAACAAGTCAACAATTTAAAGGATCAGAAAAAACCAATCATTCAATCAATCAATAACAAATTCCAGGTCCAATACCTAGAAAAATAAAATCTGTGTAAACTTGAAAAACCAGGAGGCTTAAATCGAAAGTTTTTGCAAACCTTTCTGTGTCTGGCATTGAGCTCTTTGCTAACGTTGGCCTTCTCGTTCATGGTGATTGATGATAATGGAATCGAATTCGATTACGCGATTTCTCGGAGGTGAAAGAGAGAGAAAGAACGGTCGGTGGTCTTTCTCTCTCTTCTCTCTCTCGTCTTTCTCTCTGTAGAAGCCGTCTGTGAAGGAAGAGGAAGAGAAGGAGAAGAATGAAACGGCGTCTGCTTGACTTTTGTTCGGGCGTCACGGCATCTCGCACGTGTTAAGAAGAGTAGTATGAAATGAATTATGATATGATGTGAGATTAAAGTTTTTGATCCGGGTCCACGCGTAAAGTCTTGTTTCATCCGTTTTTATGGTCTAAACTCTACAATTTTTTTTTATCCTAGTTCAAAAATAAAAAACTCTAAGGTTGCGTTTGGTTGTGATCTGAGAGTATGAGTTGTATTTTGAGTTTATGTGTTGTAGAATTATGATTTGAATGTAAAAAATTTGTTTGATAAAGAGTTTTGAAAATAGTTTTGGAAAAGAGGTTTGATTTGAGTGGGGAATTGTTGATGTGATATTTGATATGTGATATTTTATTAATAAGTCTCATATTTTATCAATTTAGTTCTTGTTTAGAAATATATTATTTTAATAATTTTTTAACTTTTTACGAAAAGATATGCATAAAAATAGAGAGCGCGATATGACAACTTACAGTGGCAAAAACTAAAGATTGTCAAACGAGACTTTAATCTTTACTACACAAACACATTCAGGATAAATTATAGGTACGTAAGGTTGGATTCCCAACATTTTTTTATTTTATTTTTAATTTAAATTATTTATTTATTTTTGTGAAATAAAATTGATAGAAAAAAAAAACATTTTATATATTAAACTCAATCCAAAAAGGTATTTTAGATATTTTGTAAAATACCATCTTTTCGTCAATTTTACTCAAAAACAATCGATGAATAATTTAGATGGAAAATAAATCAAAAAGTTAAGCTTTAAATTGACAAAATTAAGAATTTAATATTATTTTGTTACAATCATTTTTTTTTTGGTTGTAATTATCTCTTAAATTTTGCCTTCAATTTTATATAATTTTTTTACTTTCTCAATTAAAAAATTTAGCAATTTTAAAATTAAAAAATTTCATTGTTTTAGTTTTAAATTAAAAATTTTACAATTTTGAAATGGAGAAATTTTGTGAAATTTATCAGTATGCAAAAGTGATAGATTGACCAAAAGTGAGTAAATTTTCATTTAATATTTTATTATTTTTGTATTTAATTTGTTAATAGATCTCAATGAATATTTTTCAAAATTATATACATTATTAAATTAATTAATTAATATAATAAGAATTATGACTTTTTAAAGTATGAACAAAATAATTGTTTGAAATGAATTTGAGTTTTCGATTCATATTTTTATGTTTTAAGTAAAATTTTTAAGTATTTTATTTTATTATTTTGTTTTTTAGTGTACTTAATCCAAATACATTTAATTTTTTTTTAAAAATGTGAAAAAATCTAAAAAGTGAATTTTTTAAAAAATAAAAATTTATACTTTTAAAATATATTTAGATTAAGTAGAGTTAAAAAGTTAAAATCCTTGTATAACAAAAATTTTCTTATAATGAATTTCAAATAAATCTTTTACGCTGTGTTTCGTTAAGAGATTTGAAATGAAATTTAAAAAAAGAAAAAAAAAGAAAAAGAAAAAAATATATAAAACTAGATAAAATAAAGACATATTTATTCATATCTTAATTACCTTTTTCTTTTCTCTTCTTAATTCTTTCACAAATCCTCTAAACAAATACAATATTAATTTTTTCATTTGAAATAGACTCATGACAAGCACCTAAACCACTCCATCCATCTCACCACTAACCCCTCACCCCTCACCCTATTCTTGTCATGCCCTCCGACGACCACCTTGTGCTAGGGTCTCATTTAGAAACATGTTATTTAATAATTTTTTAATTAAAATATAAGATAAAAAAATTAATATTTAGAATAATTTTTTAATTTTTTATAAAAAAATATACAAAAAATAGAGAGAAAGTAAAATTTTTGGTTGTGTTTGATTATGTGTTCCGGACACATTTTCACCTACTAATTTGAGTGTGGTGTTTGTTTTGAGCTTTCAAATTACAATTCCACACCTACTTTTGAAAAATTCATTCCAGGTGAAAAATTTTGGCTAACCCGGTCGTCCTCTCGGACGTTCCCCCTGACGTCCGACCGGTTGACCAGAATAGTGTTCGTTTTTTTTTTGGTACCTGTTATTTTTACATTGTAAATAAAAAATATTTTCAGAATTAAATTTTTTTTTATGAGTTTTGAATAAAATTTTGGGTTATGTGTTTGGTTATGAGTTGTAAATTTTTGTAATTTCAAAAATTCAAAACTCTCTCGAAAACTCAATTCAAAACTGTTTCTAAACCTTATAACCAAACAAATTTTCCACATTCAAATCATAATTCTAAAACTCACAAACTCAAAATACAACTCTATTCTCAAATCATATTTAGAAAACTCTACCAAACGTTACCTTTAATTTTTTGATATAGGTTGTTGGTTTTTTAATTTTTTTAGTGACTTTTGACTTTTACACTAGAATAATAAATTGCCAAACAAGACCTAAATGTAACCCCACCGTAGCGACACTCTCTTTTCCTTCCTTCCCAACCGCTTGACCTCTATCAGAATTAGAGATGCAAACAAGCCAAGCCGAGCTGAGCTTTGTTGAGTTCGAGCTTAGCTCTTTTATTGAGCTCCAACTTGGTTAGATAAGGAATTTGGCTAGAACTCGGCTCGGTTCGGCTTGATAATTTTTTTTAAATATTATTTATATTACTTAAAATAAAAAATATTATTTATATTATTTAATATATAAATAATGTATTTATTATATAATTTAAATAAAGATAAACGAGTCGAGTTTATGAGAATTTAAACTCGGCTCGTTTACTAAACGAGTCTAATATTTGACCTCGAGTTCGATTCATTTACTAAAACAAACTGAGCCAAGTCGAGCTTGTTCATGAACAATTCAGTTTATTTGCAGTTTTAATCAGAACTAGTGTGGATTGCTGAAGAAGGTGGACAGATGTCGCTTGAGGTTTTTGTTTTTATTTTTATTTTTAAATTTTATTTTAGAGAAATGTTAGGGATCAAGAAAATTTTTTCATGAAAATGATCCTGAAAGATTTGTGACCTTTAGATTACTTTGATTAGTGTGCGGTGCTTTATTCTAAATGTAATCCAAAGATTACAAATCTTTTTATGATCATTTTCATGAAATTTTTTTCATAATACCTAACATTACTGTTTATTTTAAGAAGATATCCTTTTAAGGCACTACAAAAAGGATTACATCCGCACTATAGAGGTCCAGATTCGCCAGTGACATAGCAAGACCACCACTACAGGTGAGGAAGGTTTGGTCCATTTCAATGGTCACAGACTCACAGTTTAGTGGATGAACAGACGGTGAAGCACTAAGGAGGGAATCTTCTATGTGTCTCTACCCACTTAACTACAAGTGGGTTGGCAACAAGTTTCCAAGTGCCTCCATGTGAATCGTGATGGCCCCACATGGCCACGTCTCCTATTCTATCTTTTGCTTTTTTGCACTTTTTATTTATTTTATAATAAATATTTTAAGTTATTTGTATTCATATAACATCAAATAAAAAAATATTTATGAGAAAAGAATTTAGTAAAATATGAAAAACGAATTTTTATTGAGTTTTTTCAACATTTTTAAGTGCTTTGAAGAATCTTTATATAGAGTTTCAAAATGTTTTTAAAGAATTTTTCTTAAAATTTATTGAGTGTTTCATCTATATTCTAAGTTTTTTGAGAAAATAAATTTTGTTTAATACTTTTTTTAAAGTTGTTTTTATATCATGAGTTTGTATCTCAAACTTTTTTTTTTCTATCCACAAATTTATAATTTAAATACAATCTTCAAACTTAATGAATTACATCTACATTTAACTAGTTTTCCTGGAAACTAGTTTCCCATATCATAGAAAGTTGAGTGAACTAAACTCTAATAAGGGTTGGTTTGAGATGTTTTAAAAAAGTGTATTTTTTGACTTATTGGCTTATATGGGTTGAGTTTGGATTAGATTTGATGTGATGTATTAGAGAGATGATGTGATTTAAATAAGATGATGTGACTTAAATAAGATAGTGACTTTTTATATTATTTAATGTACCCCAAACCAAGCCTAAGTCTCGTGGCCTTATTTTTTTTTTTTTTTTTCAGTCAGCAAGAGATTATTTATAATATCGAAAATGACAATAACACCCACAACATTAATACAATTAATTATGTTAGAAAAATCTAATAGAATCAACTATGTAAGAAAAATTTAGCAAATCTCAGATAACCGTACAAGGAAGAGCCTTGTTTTGTAATAAGAAAAAAAAGAAAAGAAAAGAAGCAAATAATCAATTTTTGTTATTAGCAATGATTAACCCCTAACCACTCATAGGTACACACAGTGATAATACTGCGGAGCAGACCCTATGTTTGGTCATTTTCCTTTGTTTTACAAAACACAATTGTGTCCTCCGCATAGCCTTAAAGTTTTGGTATCGTCTTTTACTTTTCAATTTTGTGTTGGTATCGTCTTTTACTTTTCAATTTTGTGACACCCCCTCAGAGACAATCAACACTGTTACGTAGTCATGTGCATGTATATATTGGGTGAAGAGAAACTCTGCAGTCCAACATAAAACTAGCCAGATTTTTATGGATAGTGTGACGTGGGGGTAAAAATTAAATTTGTATAATTTTAAAGTTTATATGTAAATAAATTTGAGTTATAGATTGATTATTTTGAATAAAATTTAGGATAAAATTTATAAATTTGTAGTATTATTCTTTGGTGAATACAAATACAAATACAGTAATGCATTTATAGTTTTATCATTTAAATTTTTATGTAACTCAGTGTAAATGAAGAAAACTTTTGATAAATAAAAAAAAAAATAGTTTATAAGTTATTGGACATAGTTTTGAGGCCCAAATCATAATTAGGTGGTGTTTAGGAGGTAAGACTTCCATTAAAATAGTCCATTAAGATAAAAAAAGCTAAAATAGTTAATAAAATATGTCATATTGGCCTCGTTTGGGAAGTGACTATTTTAGAGGCTTTTTGATTTTTTTAGCTATTTTAGTAGGCTATTTTAGTTTTTGTGTTTGGGAAGATGAGATGGATTTTTATTTGAGTTGTTGTATTGAAAAGTGTGTTGAAATGATATTTGAAGTTAAAATGACAAATTGTCCCTAAAATTATAAATTTTTAAATTGATGTGAAGGGGCAAAAATATAATTTTCCAAGTGATGTAGAAATTTGACACTTTGACAGTGTAGGCTGGCCCTACACTGTCACGGCAGTTGAGGTTATTTTATTTATTTATTTTTTTAATAAAAAGGGTTGCTATAGTAGGTTTTTTGGCTTATTTCCATTTTGAGGCTATAATAGCCCCAACCCATGCTTCCCAAACAGCGCCTATATAAATCTCATATTGTTAAACACTGTTCACTTAAGAGAGAAAGTTGAAGCGATTTCCAGCGATGAGGTGATTTTCGGCAGAGAGGCGATTTCCGGCAATGAAGCGATTTCTGACAAACAAACTAGAGCTCTCTCTCTCTCTCTCGCGAACTAGAGGCAGTGGCTAGGGCACGATCTGCTCCATCGCCACCTCCCGTCACCACAGCTATCGACGGCATGATCGCGATCTGAAAACCTAACTACGATCACCATCGTGGTTCATCGCTCTGTTCTCTCTCTGTCTCTCTTTTTCTGACGTTGGTTTGTCGCCATCGCGATATAAACCAACGCCGTCGTCGCGATTTACGTTGTTGTTGGTCTCTCTCTCTTTGTGCCTTCGTCATCGCCCCCCATCCCTCATCACATTCAGCTAGTGCGAAATGATCTCAAACCCTAACATCGCCATGTCGTTACTGTGCCTGCCGGAGCTAGGGTCTTTAGTGTTTTTTTTTTTCCTTTTCTTGGAGTTAGTGTTTTTTTAATAAAAATAAAAATAAAAATAATTAAGCATTTAAGGCATCAATGAAATAAATTTTATATTAATTGATACGAATTAATAATTTTAGTATTAATTGATGTCAATTAAGCTATTAATTGACACTACTTAATTTATAATGAACAAATGAAATAATTTTATACTAATTCATACTATTAATGAAAATAATAGTTTTTGTAATACTAATTATATTAACTTTTATCAATGAAATACTTTTTTTAAAATTAAAACTGAAAAAAAAATGATAAAATAATCATTTTTATATTATATAAGGGCAAAAAGGACAATTATACAATGAAAAATTATTTTACAGCTTATCAACCAAACACTACCCTACTGTTTAAATCCATAATTCCACAGTTGCCCTAAACAGATTAATAACTTATGTTCACAGTTATAAGTTATAATTTGTTAAATTATAATCTATAATCACTTTTCCACAACTCTACCAAATGAAACCAAAAGTGTCACTTCTTTTTCTCTGTCTGAAAGTGCAGTTTTGAGAGAAGAATGGATCGTCATGGAAAGAGGGCCCCACACCTCTCACGGCTAGATTTCAATTAATTAGATAGAAGCCAGACTTGTACTAAAACTCTAAATCTTCTCTAAACAGTCATTAAAAAAAGGGTAAATTACATTTATCTCCCCTTAGGTTTCTAACAAATATAGGGACCTTCCCTGCGATTTAAATAATTACAGTAACCTCCCATATTTATCTAACAATATCAAGATTCCCCCTCCGTACAAGGAAGAGCCTTGTTTTGTAATAAGAAAAAAAAGAAAAGAAAAGAAGCAAATAATCAATTTTTGTTATTAGCAATGATTAACCCCTAACCACTCATAGGTACACACAGTGATAATACTGCAGAGCCGACCTTATGTTTGGTCATTTTCCTTTGTTTTACAAAACACAATTGTGTCCTCCGCAGAGCTAAGTTTTGGTATCGTCTTTTACTTTTCAAAACAAATTTGTGCCCCCCCAGATAGGGCATTGCTTCACTATTCTGAGGCTGCAAAAATGAAAATTTTGCACCAGTGTGGGACAGATAGACTATGCAGGTCAAGAAGGCTACCTCTCTTTTTGAAATGAGAGAAAAAGTATCGTATGGTTTGACAAAGTGCCTGTTTGGTAGCGCTCTATTTTAGCTTAACTCAACTTTTAGATTATTTTGAACTATTTTGATGTGTTTAGTAGAATTTAAAATCACTTTTTGTAACTTAAATTAAGTCAAAAAAATGATTTTTGACTGAGTGACGGAAGGGGTGCTTTTTCCATTCAGCTTAAGCGGAAAGCTAATAATTGAGGGACAAAATTACTTAAATGCCCCTTGTTAATCTCAACTATTACCAAAAACCTAACTATATAAATCCCATATTGTTAAACACTGTTCACTTAAGAGAGAGGAGAGGCGATTTTCAACGATAAGGCGATTTTCGACAGAGAGGCAATTTCCGGCAAACAAACTAGAGCTCTCTCTCTCTCTCTCTCTCTCTCTGTCTCTCACGAACTGGGGCAATGGCTAGGACACGATCTGCTCCATCGCCACCTCCCGTCACCACAACTATCAACGACATGATCGCAATCTGAAAGCTTAACCACAATCACCATTCTGGTTCATCGCTTTGTTCTCTCTCTATCTCTCTTTTCGACGTTGGTTTGTCGCCATCGCGATCTGAACCAATGCCATCGTCGCGATTTACGTTGTTGTTGGTCTCTCTCTCTCTTTGTGCCTTCGTTATCGCCCCCCATCCCTCATCACATTCAGCCAGTGCGAAATGATCTCAAACCCTAACATCGCCACGTCGTCACTGTGCCTGCCGGAGCTAGGGTCTTCAGTGTTTTTTTTTCTTTTCTTGGAGTTAGTGTTTTTTTCATAAAAATAATAATAATAATAATTAAGCATTTTAGCCATCAATGAAATAAATTTTATATTAATTGATACTAATTAATAATTTTAGTATTAATTGATGTCAATTAAGCTATTAATTGACACTAATTAATTTATAATGAAAAAATGAAATAATTTTATACTAATTGATACTATTAATGAAAATAATAGTTTTTGTAATACTAATTATATTAACTTTTATGAATGAAATACTTTTTTAAAAATTAAACTGAAAAAAAAATGACAAAATAATCATTTTTATATTATATAAGGGCAAAAAGGACAATTATACAATGAAAAATTATTTTACAACTTATCTACCAAACACTACCCTACTGCTTAAATCCATAATTCCACAGTTGCCCTAAACAGATTAATAACTTATGTTCACAATTACAAGTTATAATTTGTTAAATTATAATCTATAATCACTTTTTCACACTCTAACAAATGAAACCAAAAGTGTCACTTCTTTCTCTCTGTCTGAAAGTGTAGTTTTGAGAGAAGAATGGATCATCATGGAAAGAGGGCCCCACTCCTCTCACGGCTAGATTTCAATTAATTAGATAGAAGCCAGACTTGTACTAAAACTCTAAATCTTCTCTAAACAGTCATTAAAAAAATAATGGTTGTTCATGGTGAAGAACCTGAGTTTTCCCTTCGCAAGTGAGTTCAAAGTAACAAACATAGACATATAGAACTTCTATAAAGAAGAAAAAATTATGATTAGAGATAATAAAAAACTTTTGAGCTACTAACTCAAAGTAGTTGATCCAAGCTCGTATCATCGGCTCAGGTGTCTCCTATTGTGAAATTACAATTAAACACCAACATGACTTGTTTCCAAAAACAAGCCATTTGAACTTCAGCTCAATCATACAACAAATATAATAATAATAATAAAAAATTAAAATGCAGGTGGAAAAGCAGGGACCAATAAAAATGAATATACAGATGGTACATTCAGATTGAAACAAGCCATGCAGAGAGAAAACTAGTCCAGATTTTCACAGGCGGCGGAAAAGAATTTGTATACAGAGATGGTACATTCTAACATAAGTCTACAAATTTTGGAAAAAATTCTCTGTGAAAATACTATTCCAGCCCAACATTCCTGACTCAGCAGGCAGGCTACAACAAATAACAAGTAAAGGCAACAAGTTGGAATTACCAGACAGTGAACGATTAGTAGAGGACCATGCACTTGAAATAGAGCTGCCTTCTGACTTGGAGGTTGAAACCACTGTTTGAACCCTGCGCACAAGCAAACCACATGATAGTCCTATATATATGGCAATCTTGGACCACTGCCCAAGGCTGATTGTGTGAAATTACATGCGAATACTTCAAGGAATAAGAACTCAACAACAAAATTTGACACAACAGTTGTTGCATACAACCCAGTAAACGCCTGAAAATGACGTCAATGTTCGGTTTGTAATCCAAAATGTTCCTTTAATATATTTTTGGAAGTCTTTCCAAACCCCTTGCCCACTTCTTCCATTTCCCTCAATTTTATAATTTCCCATTTTATCCGATCCTCCCTGTTACGGGTAGCCTCAAGCAAGGCATCTGGGTCATTTGATGATGAGTGCGTTGAATGTTCGAACCTCTCTTTGTCGAGCTGTTGATACAGGTTTAGAATATAGTTCTTTTGAGCACAAAGCCTTTCCTCTGCAATTTTATATTCAGACTCTTGTGCCTTTCTCAGAGAATGAAGAACCCGATCAATCTCATCCTCGAGTTTTAGAGATTCGATCCGGGGGTCAAAGTTTGTAGATAAAATTTGAGGTGAGCCTATTCCAAATTCTAGAGATTCCCTGCGATTTGTGACTTCCAGCGCATTATGCCCACGATCAGACAGCCCTCCTATCATCAAATAAAACTACTAGTAACCCAGGGCATGAAAGAAATGCTATATTTTGAGTGACAAAAGAAAAGGGAAAAATGAAATGAAAAACTTTGATTTATGCTCCGTTTGTTTGGGAGGAAAACATTTTTCCTGCAAAATATTTTCTGTTTTTTCTAGCATTTAATACAAGTGAAAACAACAATCAAAGGAAATGTTGTTTGTGGTCAATAAAAAACAGGTGGAAAAGCTTTCCATTTCTGAAAAGTGAAAAGCATTTTTTAGACTAAAGTCTTACCAATGTCACCACATTGCCACCACCACTATCACCTTTGCTAACCCACCACCATCACCATCACTGCCAATTCCACCCCACCACCACCGTCGCCCCCATCACCACTACCACCAGCACACCACCACTGCCATCACCATCACCATCACCACTCTACCGCTACCTCCACCCCGCTGTCACGGCTGCCACTGCCACTGCCACTGCCACCACCACCTCCACCTCCGCCACTGCCATCACCACTAATACCACCACCACCTACCCCACAACTCCCACAATCATCTCCCCCATCACCACCGCACCACCATTAATAAAACTCCTAATACATTAGTTTCAATGACACAACCAACAGAGTAAAATGTTATGAAAGAAAATTTTCTAGAAGTTTTTTGTAGAAAATGTTTTCCATTGAAAAAAGTTTTCTACTGAAACAAACGGAGCGTGAGTGCATCCAGAGCTCCACTCAAAAGGAAGGGGAAATCAGAGTGGGGGGACATTGCAAGGTTCTGATTGTATTAGAGTACCTCATAAATATAAATAAATAAACAAAACAAGAAATACAAAAGACATTTTGGCAACATATGAAAGAGCTAACACTACGCTTTTGTTCCATGGCATTGAGCCAAAGCCGTAGGTAAAGTTTGAGTTGACATTTCCTTAAATACAACAATATACATGTAAATGCCACGATAAAATTTATAGAAAAATAAATAAACAGATAATGAAAGTATGGAGAGTAAAAGACCAGACAATAACTCAGAGCATATGAGGTTGGAGAGAAAAAGTACCTGCCGTAACTGCCGATATGTCTTCTGTTTTCCAAATATTTTCAAGGTAAGTCCCACTCTTAAGCTGGTGCAAGTATCAGATTGATCATACTAGTTTTAGAAACCCTAAGAAAATGAGGATAGACTCTCAAGAAAAGACTAATTATAGGTCAGCAGTTTAGCGATACCTTTGCCATGGCCATTTCAATACGAAGCAACAAACTCTTTGCACTAGTTTTCTGTGAGCCACGCAAAACACAACTGCCAACATTTAGAATCTTCTCAATGTCATCTCGAGAATCAATAGATTCACAGGTACGAAAAATTTTTGTAACATGTGGAACAAGATCTGTCCTCATATCACAGCGCCGACAATAGTACTCAGCATCAAGACCAATGCTACCTCCAACTGTCCCAGCCATGTATGATCGAAGAGCACAGTCTATGTGAGCGACATGGCCACAAATAATGTTGTAACCTACCATAGCTTCACATTTAATGAAACTGTAGCCTCCATAGGACGAATTAATAGTCTTACAACAAAGAATACAACAACAATCTCGACAGAAACTGGGTTCGCTGCAGCAAATATCGCAAGCCATGGGTTCCAAGGCAGAATCTCTTGTTTCTACTAAACTGTTGCATATTTTGTTACCAGCCTTACAACCCACAGCCCCAAACTGAGAATCAGACCCCAACTGTTCAGATATCTCTTCAGGAAGAAGCGTAATGACAGCATTAAGCTCCTCTTCACTGCCTACACCATGATTCAGAAAAATAGTTTTTTTTAAAAAGCCCGAAGGCCAGAAGTTTTATGTGTGAATAAAATCATCCCAATTCTTGAGATCCCCAAAAGACACTATTGAATAATAATAGCACCGATACAGATGATGGCACAATGCATTCTCAAAAATATATGGGTGTACAAAAGCATTAAAAGACCATCTTTCCAAATGTCAAAGAAAGCTAGATCAAGGGGAAAAAAACAAAAAAAGTTAAGGCGAACAAAATGGATGTGGAAAGACAGATTTCCTTTTTTCTTTTATTGTTTTGCTTGTTCTCACGTAAAGAAATTCAAATTGACTTTAGGACTATGTTACATGAACTTGTGTATAAGTGTTAGGTTGTTATACGACTAGATTTCATATATTTTTTTAAAGGGTTAAATGATGTTACAAACTAAAAGAGAGCATTCTATGTATAAAATTGAAATATTAAGCATAAGTTATATAGTAAAATCGACATGTCAGATTAGGCATATCTAAGATATATGATATAACTCATATCCTTAGCAAAATGTTGAGTGCCCAACAAGGTTATTTCATAAATTTAGAGGAGTCCATTTAACATACTTTACAACCTTTAATTTTTTTTACGCCCTGTTAACAAGCCAAAGATGATTTGATGAAATAAAATAGTAAGAAACAAATTCTCTTTACAGAACTGAATGTATGCAATTGCTTAGTAATATATCGAAGAAGCCAAGAAAAAGAATAGTAGTAAGAAAGAATGTAATATTCAAGAAAATTTTCCAGTCGCATAATTTTTGTTTCACAATGAGGCTTTTTTTTTCTCTAAAACTATACCTACTTGAAAATTAACAACTTAAAAGGAACCAAAAACTACGCCTAGTTGTAATAAACAATACCATCCTTCCACTGAGTGTTCCGTTTCACAGTACATAAAAATTGGAAACCCATAATGGATGTAGGATTATAAAAAAAATACTTTAAAAACAAGCATAAAAGAAAAATAATGCCGGTCTGGTTGTATACAATTTGCAACACAAGAAGTACATCAGCAAGAATTTTCTACCATTGCCTAATTTAGCAAAAACTCATAACTCCATGGCTGGAGCAAAAAAGTGGATTCTTGGTCAGAGCAAGCTGCCCTATATTTGCTTAATTGCAAATATAGAAATTTTGAAGTAAATCATCCTCCAAATTGACAAATACAAAAGAATAAAAAGGGAAGGGAAAAAAAAAATTCTTTAACCAAAGCTTTAATGGTCAACTCATTGTCATCCACTCCCACAAACTATCATTGCGAAATGATTCATATCAAGAAAGTGATCTTGCAAACTCAATTCCATAATTACAAGCAATAAATGTTGCTCGTGGCAATCATGTTGGGCCCCATAACATCAAAGGGCTAAACCATTATAGCTGAGTCCTTGGATTATACCCACTCATACTACCAAGGGCTAAACCATTTTGAACATCAAACCATTGGAGGAGGTATAGCTGTCCCTCATAATGGGAAGGTACAAAGAAGAACAAATATCTGATCACAAGACCACGTAAGTAACGTATGCAACATATTAAAACAGAAGGATGTTATTCTTTATATAGTGTTTGGTTCACTGGAATGAAATAGAATTGAATGTAATGGTCATTCCTTAACCTCCCTATGGAGTGACTATTCTCTTTCCATAGTGAATAATGATTCCATTTGTAATACAAATTTTATCATTTTTTTAATGAACCTAACATGAGAAGGGATATTATCATGGAATGATCATTCCATTCCATTTCCTTCCAGTGACCAACTAGAGCATAAAAGATTAAAATCATAATAGCCTGACCTTTGTTCACATGTAACTTTTTTGCAGGAATCTTCCAACTGAATGAGGCAAAAAATGCATCAACATCAGCACCAGGGAATGATGCCCGGACGAAATGTTCAACTGAAAGCTTACTCGCAAAACCACCTCTCTTACGCATGGGCTCTTGAAGACGCTTGGGAAGATACAAGTATCTATCCAAAAAGCAGCCAGAATGTGCGACCCTCTTCCCCACCTTCCAACTCCACACATCACCAGGATTTGGCCAATCTTCAGGAGCATATGGCAAACCTTCACCTGAATCAGTTGCAGACACCGGATAAAGACGAAGCCCATTTTCCTTTACTCCAGCGGTGCTTCCGTTACTTTCAATAGGATTGTCAATCTCCATAGATTCCTTTCCTGTGCTGACAAGTAATTAGGGCCGCTGAACTGTATCCATGGTCATTTGGATATCATTAGCTGTAACCAAAGTATAATTACCAACAAATATTACAATTTATGAAGAATACTGCTCTTCTTTTTTCTAATTTTTTAGAGGTTATTTTGCAAATATAGAGTTATTGATACGTATGCAATGATGCTCAATTCCTTCAAGTGCAACGAAGTAACCAGATAAAAACTCAATAGTTTTGTTTCAGAAAATGCGAACCCAGATCAGCAAATAATTGTAAAAACCAAATAAAAGAACAAAATTTCCTCCTCCAAACGACATAGGCTACACCACAGAGAGTCCTCAAGTTCAAATGTTTTTATTAAAAGACTAGTCAAAGCCTGGTAAATTTCGAGGCACTGAAAAAAATTGGATAACTCAGATTCAGAGATTAGCTGATTTTATTTGAAAATGAACAGAAGGTACGGAGTAAAAATAAAGTGAACCCAAGGTATTATCTTTGTCATGCATAAATAGCTTCCATGTATATATATATATGAAAGGCAAAGTCTGCATTAGGCGATTATTTTCAATTAGTATGACAGAGTAAGCTGGCATTAGGCTATTAAACTATCAGTCTTATCAGTTAAAAGTGCAAGAATGTAAACAAAAGGTGGATGCATTATATGTAAATATTAATCATTACAAATTTACAAACGATTTCCATCAATCGCAAAAATGGAAACCTGTTGGTGACATTATTGATATTATGATTATTATCAGCTAAATTTAGAATATGAATAAAGAGAGACGATAAACAATACCAAAGTTACTTCCATGCAAATTATCATTATTACCAATTTAATGTAACCGCAAAATATAGGAAAGGGGGGGGGGGGGGATCATCTAAAATATTATCCAATAATAACAGGAGTAAAATTAAATTTGAAAGAACTGGACATAATTATGAACATTCTAAAAAGTTAAAACTTAACTACTACATAGATATAGTGCACAGTACATGCTTTAAAAGGTATAAATATAAATACAAATATTGGGTGATGGGTGCCACTGAACAATGCATACGATTTTTTTAATCATGATAGTAAACTTGGGAGTCACGCTACAAATATTATAGTCGCACTAGAAATATTGCACATCATGGCTAAACTGTGTGAATGTTTTTTTACAAATCAGTCATCCATTTTATTCAAAAAACAACTTTCTTCTATCAACATAGATATAATAAAAAAAATAAGCATCCATCCTGAAAAGTGCAGCAACAAACAGGTGCAACAAGCACAATTCATGACAGGCAACAGGTCAATAGCTCAATAACAGTAATTCAAATGGAAAGAGAGGATATGGAATAAAATAAAATAAAATAAATTAAAAAAAAACAATTTTTTTTCTCTACAAAATATTTTCAACAATTCTGCTAGCTCAATGAGATTTTAACACAAAACAATAGTCTCTCCAAACCTAAGAAGCATGGATGCTTCTAAGAAGATGATGTATCCGTGTCAGTTGGACACTTCTCGACACTTGTTGTTGGACACTTCTCGACACTTGTTGTTGGACACAAGTCCAAATGTGTGCAACTATTTTTTTTATTTTAATCGAACATGTTTGGACACTTATACATGCATAAAACACATTACAAGTGTAAATTGCTTATGCACACATGATCCAAACCTAAGAAGCATGGATGCTTCTAAGAAGGTACTCATTAAATACTTCTCAACACATGTCGGGCACATGTCAAAACGTGTCCTATTATCATCATTAAATTTTTTTAAATCAAACACATTTGGAAATTTTATGACACACGTGTCCATCATCACTTGTACATAAATTCATTACATTACAAGTATGAATCGCTTTTACACACATGAAACATATTACGAAGCATGAACAAAATAATTTACAATCCAATGATAAACAAAGTAATACAAATTTATCCATTCTCCTTAAACGTTAAAAATTCAAATTATGTTGCTTATTTTTATTCTTATATATATAGTTTATAATAAAGATATATTTTGCATATACCTACATATGTCATGACCGGTATTTTTTATTTTTTTTTCTCTCTAAATTATCATGTTGGTGTCCGTGCTTGTTAGCTCCAAACAATCAAAATAACTTCAATGCAACAATCGATTGATAATTCATAGAGAAAGAGTTTACCTGAGAAACTGTTTCTTTGTTGACCAGGCTTAGAGAGGAAAAATAAAATTAGGGCTTGGACTCAAACTTGGGAGAAAATCAGTCTACCTGAAAATTTAAAAAGACAAAGAAAAATAAAAAATAAAATTCATAAAATGTAAATAAAATTATTTGAGACTCGAAATCGCACTCTGAATAATGCATTACAGCGAAAAGACAATCATGCCCTCTGCTACTCTCTCTCTCTCTCTCTCTCTCCCTCTCTCTTCCAAGATCACAGTCTCAAACCAAATGCACAGAGAGAGAGAGAGAGAGAGAGAGAGAGAGTACAAAACCCAGAAACCCAAAAGTTTGTTGATCAAATCAGTGAGAATCAAATTCAGGAAAACCCATATTGACCCTTCAAAAAATTTCAATGTTTTTGTGTATGGAATGAGAATGAAAACACAGAGTGATTGAGAATGCAAGATTCAGCATCAAACAACAATGAATCAATCAACAACGAATCAATACAGGGTACAACACATGAAGATCGAAGAGTGGGGAAGAGAAAATGAAAACCTTTCTGTGCTTGGGACTGAGCTGTCTTTCGAAGTTGGGCTTGTCCTAAAGGAAGAGAAAATCGAAGATGTGTGCGTCTATCTGTCGGACTCTGGACCGTTCGATTGTCTGCCCACTGTAGGAATGAATGTGCGAATAACTAGGGCTGCAGATCGGAAACATAAATCTCAGATAATCTATTAAATTTTTTATTAATAGTATCACATGATGGGAGATTTATCTAAATTCACAAGTGTGGGTCTCACACCACATTTATACGAGAGTTTTGATAAATTATTTGTCATCTCTAAAATAACTCTGACAAGTCAGCCAAGGTGGCTCAACTTTGGCTTTAAAATAGTTTTTTAAACTCGCTTAAATTTGACTTACTTAGGGTATTACACTGTCGTATCAATTTTTTTATTAAATTTGAGTAAAACAATTAAGTAAAAACTTCTTTTAATATTAAGTGTTTTGATAGAGAATTTTGTAATTTCATCGAATCACTAGTTGACCAAGTAGACGACCGGTAGATCAACTGGCCAGTGCAATTTTTTTACAAATTTTTACCTTGAGATAGTCATCCGGGAGGACATCCGGTGATGAAAATCTAACAGCAATGAACAGTAATTTAATAAAAGGCACATTGATCCTCAGTTTAATGAAAGAAAAATGAAATTTTTATTAAATTTTTTATTAAAGCTCTTATATGGGTGGGATTCATATAAACCCGCATGTGTGTGGGATTCACACTTATTTAAGAGTTTTGATAAAAAATTTAATAAATTATTTGAAATCTCTAATATGACTCCGACAAATCAGCCAAGGTGGCTCAACTTTGACTTTAAAATAATTTTTTAAACTAGTTTAAATTTGACTTGTTTAGGGCATTTTCAGTGTTGCATCAATTTTTTTTATTAAATTTGAATAAAAAATGGAGTAAAAACTTCTTTTAATATTACGTGTTTTGATAGAGGATTTTGTAATTTCATCAAATCACCAGTTGACCAAGTAGACGACCGGTAGATCAACTGGCCAGTGCAATTTTTTTACAAATTTTTACCTTGAGATAGTCATCCGGGAGGACATCCGGTGATGAAAATCTAACAGCAATGAACAGTAATTTAATAAAAGGCACATTGATCCTCAGTTTAATGAAAGAAAAATGAAATTTTTATTAAATTTTTTATTAAAGCTCTTATATGGGTGGGATTCATATAAACCCGCATGTGTGTGGGATTCACACTTATTTAAGAGTTTTGATAAAAAATTTAATAAATTATTTGAAATCTCTAATATGACTCCGACAAATCAGCCAAGGTGGCTCAACTTTGACTTTAAAATAATTTTTTAAACTAGTTTAAATTTGACTTGTTTAGGGCATTTTCAGTGTTGCATCAATTTTTTTTATTAAATTTGAATAAAAAATGGAGTAAAAACTTCTTTTAATATTACGTGTTTTGATAGAGGATTTTGTAATTTCATCAAATCACTAGTTGATTGAGCGGACGACTAGTTAGTCGACCGGCTAGTGCAATTTTTTTATAAATTTTTATCTTGAGGTGGTCATCCGGTGATGGAAATCTAACGGCAAAGAACAGTGATTTAATAAAAGGCACATTGATTCTCAGTTTAATGAAAGAAAAATGAAATCTTAGATTTGATGATAGATTTTATGAACCGTTGGAAGAGCAAAAAGTAACTTTTTTTTTATCAAATTTAAATTTGATGAACAATTTGAGATAGTCTTATAACCCTTCCTTTCTCTTGATGTAAAATATTTTTCTTATAAGTTAATTTTCTCTCTCTCTCTCTCCATCTCATTCGACGAAGAATGACTCCTCCCCTTCACGCTGATGACAGGTCCTCCCCTTCAGTTCGACGTCTTACGCTGTCCTACTGACGCCCTACTCTGTCCTCCCAACACCCGACTCTCTTTATTTCCATCCCATTGATGACGAGGTAATCTGGTATATATATGTATCTTGTATATTAGGGCAAAATTCCTCAATCTGATACATATTGTAAAATTCCTCAACAAATAGTGATAAATCTGATACATATATGTATCTTGTATGTTAGGGCTTTTGACAATATTAGGGCAATTATTAAGAGGATTTAGGGCTTTTGACAATTCCAAACACTGATAAACAATTTGAATGTTGGATTATGGCCTTTTGATTTGGGAATTGAGTATGGTAATTAGTTTTTTTCAATGTTGGATTATGGCCTTTTTATTTGGGAATTGAGTATGGTAATTAGTTGTTGCCTTTTTTAATGTGGTAATTAGTTCAGTATGGTAATTAGTTGTTGGCCTTTTGAATTGAGTATGGCCTTTTGAATGTTGGATTATTGTAGTACTGTTTTTGGAATTGAGTATGACCATACTGTTCCATTCACTCTAACACATCATTCACCGCAAAATGCTGTTTTGATTAGTTATGTTTTTTATGATTGTGAACTTATTATGAGCTTATTATGAGTTGAAATTATTTTTTAGTTTCAGAAATGTAGAATAATTATGAGACTAAACATGTAATAGTGTTTGAACATGTCAAATAATTTGAACATAACCGTTATAGGTTGAACATATCAGTTATAGTGTTTGAACATGTCATAACAGTTATAGTTTGAACATGTTATAGTTTGAACATAACAGTTATAATGTATGAAGGCAATAACTGAAATGAAATATTGTTGGAATAATTTATTAGATGAAGTTGCTATAATTTATTAGTGTTTGAAAACTGGGACTTTCCTACAAAACACAAGTCCAATAATCTTATAAAATAATCATACTGAAATCATTCTATTTGAATTTCTCAGATCGGTTGACGTACTTGAACAAAAATTGTCCTAGATATAATAAAAAGGCCACTATTCAAATTTCTGAGACTGATCAAAACAAAAACAAGTTATTTTACTTTTGTAATGATTGTGGTAGTTCATTAGATAGTGTGTGCCTATGAATTCACAATGTAGAGATCATGAAATTCCAAGACAAGTAGAAGGAGAACTGCTAAGATCTATGATAGAACAACTTCAAGCTATGACCAAACAACAAAGATCTATGATGGAACAACTTTGAATTCAGAGCGCATAGATGCAAAAAATAGAATTTGTGTTGTTTGTTTTGCTTGTAATTGGTGCCTTATTACTTATGAAGATGTAATGCTAGTTAGAAGTAGAAGTAGATTGAACTATGTTTTGTTGTGGAATGGAATATCTATTAGTAGGAAACAGTTTGTTATTTTAGAGTGGAATGGAATATCTATTTTAGTGTTTGTTATTATACAGTGAATGATGTTTTGACGTACTTGAACAGTATGATGTTTCGTTATGGCATAGAATATCTATTTTACAGTTTGTTATTTTATGTTGGAATGGAATGTCCTATTGATTGTTTTAGATTATTGAGTGCATGAATGATTGTGGAATGGAACACTTATTGACTGAATGGAACACTGATTATTTGTTCACTGATTGTTGAGTGAATGGAACACTTATTGTGGAATGGAACACTTATTTAGTGAATGGAACACTGTCATGATTATTGTGTGTGTTTTGGTGTTTAGTGCGCCATATATACAGTGAAGTTCAAAACTAAATTGTAAAAATGCTACTGGTCCTGCAGAAGATACCTGTTTTTTTAATCCTTTGTTTTAGATTTGCCCCACTTAATATCTTAGGGGTGATCCCCTGAGTGATTTCCATCTCAATGTAATGTCATTTTGTTAATGTCAATTTATAAAAGCTACAAATTTAATGTCATTTTGCAAAGCTGCCAACCTGTTAGGATTAGTGTAATGTTTAGTTGGGCAATTCCAATTAGTGACTGATTCTTTTTGGTGCACATATCTGCACCTGGTTAGAAGCATAAGCCTTGTGTTCAGGCCTTGATGATTTAGCCTCGATTTTTTTGTTGAATACACCAACAAGGACCTTAGCAGATTCTGGATTAGCTTTTATCTGCTTTGATCAATATGTCAACTATTTAACCAAAGGGAATGTTTAGGTATCTATCTAAGGGAGAAGCAAAGCCTTTTAAACCTTCTTGGTGGTATTCAAAATGAATTGTCAAAAAATGCTAAAAAATAATGATTTCAAGACAGATTTTTTGAACTGTCAAAAAATCATGCTTAAACACTGTCATGAACTTCATCACATAACATAACCAATAACAGTGTCAAAATAGTGTCAAAATAGCAAACTCATGAACTTCATTACATAACCAATAATAATAATAATAACAAACTGTAAAAGTGGGACTTAAGAATAACCAATCTTGCAAATTAATACACAACATGTGTTACACATCTAACATGGGACTTAACATAATAGGTTTCAATCTAAAAAATAATGTCCATCATTCATTGTCGGTGTGTATGCATTAGAACCCGATGGGGTTAGAGATCTAGACCCAAAAAATTGAGTTATAACACTCATCAAACTTCTTGGTGTGCCGCTTACAAAGTCCGATGGGATAAGAGATGTGCCTCTAATAGCATTTACCTCCTGTGATAATTCAAGTAAAAAAGTACATGTTACAAAATATTTGTAAATGAAAGCAAACAATTGATGTAAAGTCGTCTTATGAACACATACTGGTGCATACATACTATTTTGCATGCCAACCATATAAGGATAATACAATGTATAAGCTTGAGCTTGAGCTTGAGCTTGAGCTTCAAATTGAAGCACCTTAGTAGCCTATATTGGTTCAAGAGTTTGTAAAAATGTACTTGAAAAGAGTTTGTTAAAAAAATAAAAAACAAGTTCAATTCAATATACAATTTACCTTTGCTTTTGTTTGTTTTTTTGCCGTTGCTTTGAATTGATTCACTATTTGATCTGCTTTGGCAACCTTTCGTTTCGTAACTGGACGGCCTCTTCGCTGAACAACCAAAGGACTAATCACCTTCTTAGTACTAGCTCCTTCTGTACAACCGGTGGCAATCGGACTTTTTATAGAAGATGGTATCATATTAGTAGAAGGTGGTAAATTACTCCCATCA